AATAATGGAATTCTTTAGGTTAGGACTTCTTCTTTACATTTCCATGTGTGTTTTCGTCTCACTTGGTAGGTTTTCCACTGTTAGTAGCTTGATTATTTTTACAGTTGCTTGCTACTGATATTTTTGCATGTCCTGAAATCCAAAAATCTAAACATTTGATGCTTCTTTTTGGCATAGTCGGTATGTCACTGGTACCACTCCTGTATTTGAGAGTCATCAATTGTATGTCATTCTGTTTTTGTTTATCCAGTGAACTCTAGACAGAAGTAGGGAAAGAGGTTTTTTGAGGAAATGTCGGTCGTGCAGTGGTATACATTTGCCCCCGTTTTATCACATTTTTTCAGTCATCAGTTTATATGTTTTAGTGAGTATCTGTGGAGTACAACAGGAGGGCTTCTGCAACGTAGTTCGTCAGTATCAAGTGATGCAACTCTTACATTTGTCATATCTTATTTGATTTATGCTCTTCTAGGCAAGAGACCTTTTGGAGTTTCGTTGCTATATATGGGATGGGATGAGCATTTTGGTTATCAGCTTTATCAGTCAGATCCAAGTGGGAATTATACCGGATGGAAAGCGACATGCATTGGTAATAATCATCAGGTAACTACTTTCTTTACCTTTGTTGGCAGTTTTGCGTTATAAAGATTTTTTTTTTCCTTCAGTGCAGTACATAGTTCCGCTGGCATTTGGGAAGGTTTGAAGGCTATAGAAAGCAAAAGAGCCTATGGTGTTAGGCTTTGTTATATTATATAAAAGCAGTTTTCACTGCACTTCGTTCATTAAATTTTTAACTCTTCTTTTTATAATTTTTGCTTGTAATTTATCATAGCTGGGTTATAGGCAGCAGTGTCGTTATTAAAACAGGAATATAAGGCTATGGATTTGGTTGAAGCGAAGAAACTGGCGTTGAAAGTTTTGTCAAAAACTCTTGATGTAAAGCTGTCACCAGAGAAGAGTAAAGATAGATTTCTATTCTCTCGTTCTTCATTTTCTTCTTATAAGTGTTAAAAAAGATCTTTTTTAGTTGAAATGGCAGTTCTTACTCGCACTGATGGAAAAACTGTGATTGAAGAACTACCTGTTGCTGAAGTCTCACAATTAATTCGTGAACACGAAGAAAGAGAGAAGGAACAGGAGGCTCATGAATCAGCGTCTTAGATCAAGCGTTAACTATTATTTTTTCTCCTCAAGTGTTTCAGTTCACTCGTGCTGTTGATTGTGATGGCTTATTCAGTGTTGCTTTGGCTTCAGGCACAAAAGGCCTTTTTGGGTTGAATGAATGGTTTAACATCCTTATTTTTTTAGGAATTCTTATTGTGAAATTATTAGGTCTTTTGAGATAAGGGATGTTCGGAAAGTACTTAATTAGATTCATGCAGGGAGGCTAAGCTAGTTTACATGAAAACGCTTGAAGATCGGCTCTTCCAGCTGCTTATTATAAAGTAGAAATTTCTGGGACAAATGGAACTTTTACAAGTGGCTTTGGATTATTAATGTTTCAGCACTTTAGTTTTGAGCAAGTTACTTTTATTACGAACTGAATGGGTTGTTGGGCCGGCTTTTTCCTGATTTGCATGTTATTGTATCGGCCGAACCTGATGTTTTCGGCACTCCTTGTTTTACACTTTGTTTATTGTTTCTTTCAATTGTTTTTATTGTTAGCAAGATAATGTTTTTTTATTGTATTTTAAGGCTGTCATTGACGGTTTCTATTTAAACGTTCCTTGGTGTTGTTATTTTGAAGTTGTTGTCTTAGATCTGAAGAATTTAAGTGGACTTAACGTGTACCAAATAAACTCGAAAAGATTTTTGATTGTTTCTATAAGAGTTTCTTCGATATAATTGTATAAAGACTCATCTTTAAGCTTCCTCGTAATAATCGAGGTAACTTCTGATTTGTTCGATGAAGAAAATTTCAAGTTAATTATTGTGTAGCGCAGCCTCAGGTCTTCCTATATGCTTATGAAGAAATTTTGGTACGAATTCTTTGGGGATTTATTATGCTTCTTTCTAGCTAGATGTCAAGCCTGTCGTTAGATGAGTTGAATTTCCAAAGGTTGGTGTTTCGCACAAAACTGCTGTGCAGAGAGGATCCTGATGATAATATTTGGAAGTTGAAAGCTGCTATAAAGAGTATTGAGGCCCTTTTTAGTCGTTTACAGGACAACAGGCACGTTGATTGTGTTGTAGTCTGTAGCCTCTATTATCATTTGTTGATTTAGGTTTTGTTAAGTCTGATTCATGAAGACAGTTGTGTTGTCTGAACGGTATAGATACAAAACTAGCTGATTTAAATATTTCTTGTCGTTTTTTAGTAAACTATTACACGTATTTCTCTAGGAATGAGAACTTGGTTGTTACTATGTTTATGGTTTATTTCTTTAGGTTTCTCGATAAAGATCTGTTGATGCAGTATGGGCGAGATGTACACCAGCTAAGAATACTCATAGAAGCCCAACAAAAGGTACTTTTAAATCCAGCTTTTTTGAAAATTGCTTTGGAGAGAGGTTCTTGCATCATTATTTGTTCAGAAATTTACCTTTCCTGTTTTTCCGGTATACTTTTGAATAGTTCTCGAAAAAGAAACTGCTTAAAGACTTAACGAAGCAGTTCATCCAACAATAGTAATGAATTGAGATTTTTTAACGAAGAAGAAAGTTTACCATTTGTAATGGGCTTTTTCTAACAGTAAATCAAGAGTCATTTAGAAAACACCAGAAGACCGGTTGCAGTGGATAGACCTAATTCCAAACGCATTTCCGCAGTACCCTTCAAATTCATCTGTCGATGATGATTCTGATGAAGAACCACTCAGTAATCCTTCTATGAACTATGAAAAAGCTAGAAGCAAAGCTATTTATACAGCCGATTTAAGAAGGCAACTTCTTGGTGGCACTGAAAAGTGAATTTTTTTGCGTTTCGAGGTTTTAAGAAAATCTGCCGTATTTTTTCTCCACTTTTTATTATTCAATTAGTTTTATTATTTGCTGTTAAGAATTTTTCTCTTTATACGGTTTTTCTTCTGTTCAAAAATTTTTTTAGAGAAATGGATGACTCGGGAGGAATAGACGAAATTATTAAACGAGAGACCGGGAAACAGGAAGAACTCGCTGAAGAGCTTCGTGCTATGGCAGTTATGATGAAGAGTACTTATTCAACAGCAAATGATCTCATCAAACAGGATAATGCTGTGAGATTTTAGTCAGTCCTATTTTCAAGACATCATGAATTTTGATGCAAAACTTAAGAATTTTTTTTAAACGCGAAATGCAGAGATTGCTTTCCTTTCTCTAACTGTTTTCAAATTACTAGTGTAAACAAAAAGACTGACTTTTAGTTTTAAAATATTTTGAGACAAAAAGACACGTAACAGTACTAGGCGCTTGTCAGTCTGTCAAACAGTTACTCCACCACGTTCTTTTCACGTGAATAATAAGACTTCTTCTGAACTCTTCAAATTTTTTAGTGATTACAAACAATGCTACCGTACAAATCTGGATAACAAGTGACTCTGAACACAAACCTAATTTTACTCAGAGGTTCTGAAGTAATGAATGGAATGTAACATTCTGTTTGGGAAACTTATTTCTTTTTAGACTTTGAGCAGATTGCAAGAAGTTGCTGAACGAAATAAGTCTCAATTGGAAGTAGAAAATCGTCGGTTAGCCGAACATGCGTATCGGTCTTGGTGCGACTGTATGTATGTTTTCGGTGTTGTTGCCGTAATAGCTTCATTCATTGCAATGACACTTATTATGAGAATTTTTAAAAAAAGGTATTAATAAGTGCCTTTTCAAGTAAAGTATAATTTCTGCTATAATGGTATTTAAATTTCAAAGATGCTCTTGAAGTTTCAGAACAAAAAAATCTTTTTATTTACACCTCTGTTTTTCATTTCTTTTTTGAGTGTCTTTGCGCAACAGTCTAAGACGATGTTGATCATTGTTTTGTTTCTTTTTAGTCTTTGTTTTCGTTGGGTTAAAAAATCGGTATTGTATGAAATCAGTTTGGTTCTTTAAAAAATCCCCTTCTGTGCCTTAAATTAGAGCGATTTTGCGAGTCTGTTTAATTTTTACTGTAAGTTATTGTTTATCTTTGTGTACTGTATAATACCTTAAGCCTAACCGTAAGGAGCTGAATCGTTTTCAGTTGAAAATTGTAAATATGTTTGAGCTGTGTTGAGGAAATGATTCTGTCTTACAGAGCTATTGTTTCTTTTGTTCTTCATATCTGTTGACTTTTGTTGTCTTAGTAGTCTCTGTTTATTGCACAGTTTTGAAGCACTTGGAAATCACTTCTTCTTCACGTGGCTAAATGTGTCTCGTAAGGAGAGGCAGACAAGGAGAAAAAAAAAAGCGTTTTTATTAGTTTCTTAGTAGAGTGGAACAAATTTTGCTGATAGTTATGTTTGGTAAAAGAAATGGTAGTAGTCATTGAAAAAGGTAGTAAAAGGATACAGTGCAGAAGGAAATAGGTTGTATAAGTGATGTAAAGAGTAAAAAAATTTTTGGTCGTTCATGAGTTTCCTTCTTTGCTGGCACGGGGAGCTTTCTCTTTGTGTAGTGATGAATTTTTATTATAGTTTTGATGAGGTATTCTATCATATTTCATTTTTTTTTTTCGCTGCTGTGATGATTAATTTGATGGTGAGATTGTAAAGCAGATTTTCATAATGTGATCCTGCTGTTATAACAGCCAATGCTTTATTTCTTTTGTACAATCAATTATAGATTTGATTTCATTCTTTGCAGTATTTTTTGCACAGACATTCTAAATTTTG